AGATGATCTCCTCAGTAGAGGTGGGCAGGCGGCCTCGGGGCGAGCGCGGCGGGTGCCCGGTCCCGCGGGTGTGTGCGCTGCATCTGCCAGGACGCGGGCGGCAACGCGGGAAAGGCGCCGCCGGGCCCCGCCCCCCGCGGTCCAGCCGCTTTGGCGCGAACCTTCAGTTGCCCGCGCTCGCCCCGCCGCCGCCAGCATGGCCCCGCCGCGCCCGCAGGTGAGTGCTGCCCGCGCCCGCCCGGCTCGGCGCACGGCTGCGGCTCGCTGCTGCTGCGGGGAGAGGGGAGCCTGTGGCGCTTGCGGCCGCTCCCGGGACCCCGCGGGGTYTTGCGAACCTGGGCAAACCGGGCTAAGCCGCGCTGCGGAAGGCCGGTGAGGTCGGCCGGGAGAGGCTCTTTGGTTTGGGCAGGCGGGGGACACGGGGGACACGGGGGCAGCCCCACCACCGGGGCTGGCAGCCTCGGCTCTCCTGCCCCGCCGCGGTGCCAGCCTAACGGGTAGGGAGAGGATTCGGCACGGGGGCCGCGCCCGGCGGGGAGCTGGCTGCCCGGAGCCATGCGCCCATCGCCCCCGTCTCGCCGAGGGCGCGGGCGGTGTTGCGGGGCTGGCCCCGCGCAGCAGGGACGGGAAGGGGCGCCGGGGTCGGGGCGGAGGCGGGCGGGGGGCCCGGCCATGAGTGTGTGGGGCGGCACCATCTTAGCGGGGGGGCGGGGAGAGCCGTGGCGGGGCCGCGCCCGAGGGGACGGGCGTGTCGGCGAGGCCCCGGCCGTCCCGGGCTGTGTGTGCTGGGCTGTGCCGCGCCTGAGGGCCCCGGTGCGGCACCAGAAAACGCGCCTTTTGTGCCTGGGGCCGGGCCGGGCCGCTGCTCGGCGGAGCTGTGAGGCCAAAGCCCGCCGGGAGAGGACGGAGGGTTCCAGCGTGCCCTGGGTAGCTGCTGCTGAAGCTCTGTCTGTGCAGCGTTTGGCCCGCGCCCTGGGCCCCTGAAGTGCCCGCGCTCCTGACCGGGGCGGCTCCTCAGTGTGGGTGCGGCCCCACGGCATCGGTGCCACCCTCGGGAGATTAAATGGGTCACTGCCAGTAGAAACATTTCCTGGGAAAGGAAAACCTGAAGCCCATAAAGAAAAGGTCTTTCGAATCGGTGGCAAAATGAACAAAACAGCAAGCTGCTTTGTCTATAACGGTTGTTTAAAATCTGTGGGTAGAATTCTTTGGCCCTTTCTTAAGAGCTGCAGAATACTTAGTGTTTGTCTCAAACTGAAAGTACTAAATGAATCAAAGCAGAGTTCTAGGTACTTTGCATGTAGTTGCACTTTTTTCCATCGCTGGCTATGATGACTGGGCTATGACATAGTTTATGTACCTATTTCCACTTGTCTGTTTGCATAAAAGAAGTATTCTTAAATACTGAATGAAACTCATCTATAACAAGATCAGATCAGAACTGTATCAGAGTAAAAACTATTGCCTTTTCTAACTCTGAGATTTGTTTTAAAGCTGATATTTGTTCTGCTGACTTGTATCCAAGATTATTAAGCATTCTAAAATGTTGCAACCTCCTAAACTTCAATAAAAGATATTCTTAATGTGCTGCAGTAGATGTCTTCTTAATGGTGCTGCTGTTGTCCTTTGCAGCGCCGAGGTTGTTCGGGAAGGAGAAACTTTACAGCCTTTCGAAATACAAAACTGATTCCCATGGAAACATCCTCATCCTCCGATGACAGTTGTGACAGCTTTGGTTCTGATAATTTTGCCAACACAGTAAGTACAACACAGGAAGACCATATGTGCAATACTAGTAAAGCTTGCAAAAATGTAAAGTTGGTAAAGCTACTGAGTGTTTTGTGCACAATTTAAACTGCTCGATCTGTTTATGTTTTTGAATAGTAGTTACAAACCTATGCCATATGCTGTAATTTCATTTCATTCCTCACTTGTGCTTCTAGGTGGTAATTGTTGGAAACAGACTAGCTATCACTTTTAGTCTTTGAAATGTCACCTAACCTAAGGTGCTTGGTAATTTGCAGCTGTGGTTCTGAAACCCCTTGTTAAATGCCTTAACGATTTTTTTTCTTTATTAAGAAAGTTATTTGCTTATACTGCACTTGTAAATGTTCATAATTTTCTCTACAACTTCATTTAAAGGATATTTTATTTTTTGTAGAAATGCAAATTTAGGTCGGATATTAAGGAGGAACTGGCAAAAATTTTTCATGAAGCSTCTGATGATGAATCTTTCTGTGGCTTTTCAGAAAATGAGGTTCAAGATGCATTGGTAAGACAGTTGATTTTAGTTTGCTATTTTATATTTAAATATTTACACATTTGTAATTGGAAAATAATACCAGCTTCAGCTTGAAAGTTCTATGTTTCAAAAAGAAGCATAATTTTATTTAATACAGTCTAAATAGCCAAATTTTAGTATTTTTTTTGTTTCCATGAAAAGCACTCAAGATTCTGAACTCTTAAAATCTGCCAAATGTATTTTGAAATATGCCTCTTAAAACTGTCGTTGCTGGATGTTACTCTTTTGGGCCCTGACATTTCCAGTTTCCTCAGTATGAAATGTTAGGCTAGCCCGTGGTTTCCAGCAGAYTTCAGAAAAATTTCTGTGTATCTTGACATGCAGTCAGACCTCCACTCTGGCAGTGTAACAGGGAAGGCTGTGCATCTTTCAGCAGTAGAGAAATAGTGATAGGTGGTGAAGTCTGCCTTCCTGCTTTTCTGTGACATCAGTGCAAGATCAGTTTTATTGCTTAAAAAGATCAATAGTTGATACTCAGAAGMGAAACCAAAGTGGTATCATGTTTGGCAAAAACAGGTTTGTCATCRCTTCAGAACGTGATGAGGAATGACTAGAAAAGAAAAATGTCTTACTGGAAGAAGGCACATCTGAGTTAAATGATACACAGTAGTAAAGAGAACAAGTAGGAGACAAAGCTGGAATAGATAAGTAGAAAAAAGAATCAATAACTACACATAAGGTGCAGCCAGAATCATATACCTGCTTAATAAAAACCCTGTGTAAATAAAAATGGCTATTTGATGTCCMTTGTTACTGCTGAGCAAAATAAAACTGTGTCTAAAAGAAAAATCAAAGCCTATTGCAAGATGAGCTTTTAACTAAATAAATTAATTAATGTCCTCACCACTGGTTCTTGGAAAATTTGTAAGCAAGACATGAGAATTCAAACATAAGAAAATACTGGTATTTTATTCATAATTATTTCATTGGCTGGCTCATGAAGGAAGTTTTCATTTGTTATCAATTGGTACTGTGAGATGGCTATTCTTGACAGCTTACAAATTTGGGTTTGACCCTGTGCAGACAACTTGCATAGTGGCTTTTTTTACAGACAAATGCTATATGTAGCAAAATTGAGAGCTTTAAAGGCAGTTCTCTTTCTCACACCACACACACAAACTACCTTTGCTATTAGACCTTCAAGTGACAGCTACGACTGCTACAACTGGACCTACACTCACTTTTCTGGTGTGTTTGGAAAGACCCTGTGGGTCTCCTTGGGAGGTTTTTATCCCTGTGCTCCCCTCTCCTTCCCTCCTGCTCCAAAACATGTTAGAGCACTAGGACTGGATGTCTAGATTTCAGCCAGGTAGCCTCTTTACCCACCTCCAGACAAAAGGCTGCATACTCTATTTAACTGCAGAGCTCTCCTGGATTTATGTGCTTCCATTCTGGTTTGTTAACAGAAATTGGAATCGGATTCAGAGGGGAATGATGCAAGTGCTGAAAGTGAGATGGAGCAGAGAGGGCAGAAATGCTCTGTTCCTCTGAAAGTAGCCATGAAGTTTACTCCTCGAAGATCTGAGAGGAGGAAGGTTGAGATGGAGCCTGTTCCTGAAACACTGATGCCCACTCCAGATTCAGACTCTGATACTGAAGAAAAGGGTGCCGTGTTTTTAGAAAAAAGAGCTTTAAACATAAAGGAAAACAAAGCAATGGCAAGTACTCAATGTCTCCCTGGGGACTCGCCCTTTTTCCCCCCCCTCCCTCTTGACTCTTGGGGGACCTCTGTTTCACTTCATTGTAATAGGAATTATGTGAATGCATTAAAGATGAATTTGCATTCCTAAAATATAAATCTGATACTTTTATATTTAGTGGCGTATGAAAATCCACAGGCTGCAAGCCTAACAACATAATAAGTTTGAACACTTCCAAATTACTTGCAGTCACTAAAACATAAATAAGACATAAATGTAAAGAGTTGAAGAGTGACTGCACTTCCTATAAGTAATTGTACTTTCAACCAATTGCCCTAGTAGTCTGTAATAGCACATAAMTACCCTTCTGAGGCTCTGCTTCGTTTTTCTTTCTCTTGTTAGCTTGCAAAACTAATGGCCGAGTTGCAAGATGTTTCTGGTATCTTTGGTGGAAGAAAATCGTTGCCAGCTGTCAATCGTGTGAGTATAAACTTACTGTACTTGCCTTCAGATTTCTAAKAGTCAAATTCTGACATGACAAAGCAAGATTCTCAATGGAAAARCTTACTAAACCATGCAAATCCAAGTCCAGTTATAATTTTATTGCTTCCTAAAACAGGTGTCCTCACTGTGTAATTCTCTTTTGATTTGCCATCGAAAGCAGAACAGATTAATTTATATAGGTCAAGTGTCTCCACAGGCCGATAAAACTAAACAAGGTGCTGTGTAAATATGTATTTATACAAAGGCTGGAGATAAGGGGGTGGCAGCTCAGACTTTGAAGATCAAGCATGAATATTCTGAGAGTTTGGAGCCTCAAAAAACACCTGGCATTGAGCTGAACTTTAAAGAAGGTTGGGTTGTGAATCAGCAGTGTAATGAATTTCACTGCAGATTTATTTGTAAGCTGGGTGAAGATTGGAACATTGCTAAAAATTGCAACTCCTCATAGWCACAGATTCAGCTGCTTTAGACTATTTCTCTGTGACCAGCAGAATGCCTAAGATGAACTTGCTTAGAATCTTCTTAGCTTGTGTTTTYTGACTGGGACAGGGATAGACATGTCTTTGGAAAAGGTGGAAGGAAGGCATCTTTAGGAGGAATTAAGTAGGACAGGAGGTATCTGAGTTTTTGCCTGTTTCATGCTTTAGCAGGGACCAAAGCGACTTCCAAGGCGTTCATCACCCAATTATGTCTTGAGGAGGAACCCAGACCAAAGTTCTCGGCCTCACACAAGGTCCAGGTCCTTGATTGAAGGTCCTCCTAGTCTTGTACCAGAAGAGGAAGAAGATGACCGGTACCTCTTGGTGAGAAGAAGAAAGATGTCTGATGAATACCTGGAGGTATGATGAAGGTCTAGTTCTGTTGTGCACTGTGAGGGTGGATTAGTGTCCCATTAAGAAAACAGCAATTCATAGAGGGTTGATGTTCTCCATTTCCCCTTCCTTGTCATTGTGAAATAACTCATCTTGCACTCTCGAAGCAAGATCAGTAGCATCTMTGTCCCTGAAGGTGACAGATCCAAGTGAGGGTGCTAAAGCTGCATCCATGTCATACATCTGTACCAAGTTGTGCTATATCTATCTTGCTTAAATATATGATGGGTATTTTGGGACTTTAGCATTGCTGTGAAGATCCTCACCTTTGTAGAGATTTTTTTGAAACTAATACTAGAACTACTGTCTTTGCTATTCAGCATGAAGCCCGTACTCCCAGGAGGGGTCACCGTGGTGCCATGGCTTTTCCACACGTTGTGCGCCCAGTTGAGGACATAACAGCAGAAGAGCTGGATAACGTTTGTGGATCTGCAAGAGAAAAAGTATATAACAGGGCCATAGTAAGTATATTCCAACTTTGTGAAATGTGTACTTTGTGAAGTAACTTTCTTGTTATTCCATGTTTGTGTTTTAGCATCAAATAGAGCACACTCCCTCTTGCTAAGAGAGAGGATGTGATTTTTGGGAGAAATATGCCTGAGATCTTGAAATGTCCATTCTTATTTTTGCCTGAATTTGTAGAATGGCCTTTACAAGCCAATTAGTTACTTTCACTCTGAAATGACTGTAATACCTAAATGATATCAGCCAAGGGAAAGTGATTACCAGACACTGAAGATGCAGTGTTAAAACAGTCTTCGTTTAAACTTGCAAGGTGGCTTTCTGTTTCAGGATAAGCACTGCTAGCTGCCAAAGAGATTTTGTTCAATGCTTTATTCCCCTAAAATGCAATCTAAAATGTTGTTTCTTTTTCCTGTGTTCTAGGGATCCACCTGTCATCAGTGTCGCCAAAAAACCATAGACACCAAGACAAATTGCCGGAACCCYGATTGTGTAGGAGTGCGGGGCCAGTTCTGTGGGCCGTGCCTCCGCAACAGATACGGGGAGGATGTCAGAACAGCACTGCTGGACCCGGTGAGACTGCTCAGTGGTGGCTTCATTGTGCTTGACTTGCACAGCCAGATGTATTTAACAGAGCTGCTTATGGTGCWGTAGTACATCATGCAGCCCTGGCTTGATTCACCCTGAATCACMGAACTGTGTTGTGTACAACTTACTGTATTTACTACTTGTGTGGTTTTATTTGCAGGAGTAAAGTATGAGAACAGAGCAGCAGCCAAAATACTCTTGTGTTTGAGCATCAGAATAGTTTTTGCTTTTGYCTTGCATTAGTACTTAATGGAAAGGAACTATATTGTGGATAAAATGCTCCTGTTGTGAGCATTGGTGTTGGAGTTGCATAGGGGAATGTTTCCTTGGTTATGTGCAAGGCAGGCAATGGAGAGTTTAGCCCCCTACAGATTGAAGAATTTGTACTCTTGCACTGGTTTATGCAGTGCTAATGTTCACTTTATAACTCCGTGTAAAGCAGGGCTCTCTTACAAATTGTGGGTATGAGTTACATCTGGCATAGAAGCTCAGCTAAAATGCCTTCTTGTTGTCTCACTTTTGTGTAGAACTGGAGGTGCCCACCCTGTCGAGGGATCTGCAACTGTAGCTTCTGCAGACAGCGAGACGGCTGCTGTGCCACCGGTGTCCTGGTCTATCTGGCCAAATACCACGGCTTTGACAATGTCCATGCCTACTTAAAAAGGTGAGTGTGCCATTGTGTCATTGACATGGTTGCTTTAAGTGGGATAAGCATCTCACCAGTGGGAGGACAGAGATGTCCACATCCTAGTTCATCAGGTAAATCTCGAGATTAGTCTGTGTTGCCTGCAGAATATGAGATTTTGCCCTGTGATTTTTCTGATACACTGGCTCTTATCCAAAACAAGTGTATAGCCACTCCGCCTTTTAGCTCTCAGCTTCAGTGTGCATTGTCAGGGCTTCCACTAATTGATCTAAAGAGTTTTCAGTGTTTGGCTACAACCTGACTCATGTTTTTACTTGTCTTTCAGTCTGAAACAAGAACTTGGAATGGAAGACTGAAGCTGTTACTGCCTTTAAATTACATACTTTTTCACCAACGTCATACTGTTGCCTTCAATGAATTGTTTAATCAAATGAGATTACAAAGTGCCTTCCTTGCTTCCCTCTCTTTTTGGGTAAAAAAGGATAAAAAATTTCATTTATTTCAGTATAAATCATACTTGGGAAAGCTGTTTAATGAAGATCTTCACTCATAGGCCATTGTTTTCTCTTTAAACAACTTTGCAAATCAGATAGCATCTGATAATAGTAGTTGTTTTTTTATAAAAACAATAGTAGTTGTTTTAATAAAAGTAGTTGTTTTTTTTCCTGAAAGGAAATGGGGCTTTAAGTCATTAGTTTCATGCAGTGGTCTGTGCTGCAGATGTACTTATGCTCTGAAATTGGTTACAAAGAGATGTTTTGAAAATGTGGRGTGGTTTTCTCCACAGAACCAAGCAGCCATCTTCTGCAATACAGACACTTAATGATCAAATGGAATTCTAGAACTCTCTGAAACAACAGCAAGTTCTAGAGTAGTCGTGGTTTGAACTGGGCCAAAAGCACCCAACRACGTTCCCTCCCCACCACCAGAGAGGCAGAAGGGAGAGCAAAAGCCCAATTAACACTAAAATTTATGGCTTTTAGATAGCATAACATAATTGAGAGAAAGATATGTATGTGCTCCAGAAAATGGTCACACAAGCAGAAATAACTTAAGTTGCAAAATRGATATATTACTAAAAACTACTAAGAAWACTGCCACACTGGGGAGGGGAACAAAGATAGGGAAAAATTTRCAAGGAGARGAAAATAAAAACGGACATTTTAAGACACCTGTTATMCTTTCCGGGGACCCGTCTCTTTCTCAGGTCGTCCCTCTCCACCCCTCCCATGCCTTCCCGCACACACAGGGGACAGGAATGAAAGTTTAACATAGATCMAACWACTCATAACKGTTATCGTCCARCMTCATAGGAGAAGYATTCATACAGCTCCAAGCTGTGGGAGGTCTTWTCCCAAGAAACAGTCAGTGTATARCTGCTGATGGCATGSGATTCTTTTCTTTATCTCRTAGGAGAAAGGAAAGAATGTTCTCCAAGGCCAGYTCCACTATCACAAATCTCCTGGCAGAATACAGTTTCTTCTAAACATCCACTTGCTTCACAYGTGGGGCAGGRGCACCTCTTCCACCCCACAGAACACATTTTCTTCTTAGCACCAACTCGCTTCACACATGAGGGGGAGCCAGGTCTCTTCCCCCTTTTTGGCTCCTGATCAGTTCAGTCCAGTCCTCAGGCCAGGGTTTTTTTCCTCAGAGCAAGGTCGTTTTCCTTTTCTATACAGGTCTCCCATTAAAGAAATAGTCCTTTCGAGAACAGCTTGTTTGCTCCATGTTCGAGCACCACAGCCCAGCACAACAGTACCTGTCTTCTCGTTACTGTGATCTTGGGTCTCCATTTTTTTTCTTACATCTCCTCACCCTCCTGCTCTGTTTTTCCCCAGTGCATGACACTAAAACTAAATACTAACAACCTAAAAACTACATGGCAGCCGCCCCTATCTTGTTTTGAATTCTTAAGTACAARACCRWATGTCATCACAGAGGTGTAACCAACCTGTGCAATTGGCCCAGGSYTGATGATCAGCCTGTSCATCAMCCTCAGAGCCAYAATGGATTGGCTCTAAAACACAGGGGGCAGGGCTCGTTTTGCTGGAGAAGAGGGAGAAAGCTTCTAGAACTTTGTCACAGGAGCCATCTTTATGGTTTCTTGGGCCCATCCCCCCACCACAAAAATCRGACCGAGTAAAACCRGGAGAAGAGTTCAGAAAGGAAGCCCTGAAAGTTACAGTTGAGCAGTCTTCAAGSACTAATATTTGGTTATAGAGTACTGAAAGTTCATGCTGGCCWTTTCAAGGGAGTTTGAATTAAAAAATGCAGCAGAAACTGTTTGAGGTGTCACTTTGTGTTTTTGCTCAGATGGCTGAAAGCTTCTGCAACATTAGCATTGCCTACTGGTGACAATGATGTGAACATACWGGTACACATTGTGGAGTGACCGCTGTCTGAAATAGAATGTTCCATGTGTGTTAATTTACTGTTCTGGTGGACTTCCTTCTCCCTGTTCTTGCTGCAGCTGCAGATCTGCTTTGCTGASTCAGCAGTGGTCCTGGGGAAGAGGGGGATACCTCCAGACAGGGCTTGGTCAAGTAGAGGGGTGACTGTTCATGTGGCTGTTGACCAACTTCAACTGGATGTGTGGTGGTAATAACTTGTTTAATTTGGTTGTCAGGAAAAGGGGAAGTGCATGTTTCTGTATCTGGCTGTGTGACTGTGGAAGGTTCTTTCACATGACATTTGTGAAATACACGCACAGCAGAAATGGAGCAGAAGAATTCTGATATGCTGCGTGCATGGGGTCTCCTGTGCTCAGTTTTGTAGAAGAGAAGGTGCCATGAAAATTGCATCCAGAGAACCACAAAGTGTGTAAATGTGCTTAGTTTGGTTATGGAAACTGCTGTGTAAGCTTTGTGTAAGGTTTAGAGTGTAATGTTATAAATAATGTACAGTTGAATAGTAGAAGAATCAACATGGGTTTAGGCTTCTCTGCTTGCACAGTATTTGCACTGTGTGTGTACAAAATGACCCACATTTCATACCTTTCTAGGAATTGTATCAGTGTGTGTGGGAGGGGAGGAGAGAGGAATTTAGAAACAACAGATATTTATGTCTCAGACATGCAGTTCTGTTTCATAAATCATCTCTCCTATTGAAAATCTCCTGTCCTCTCTTTGTCTGTTTTTATAGTGTGAATAGCTGTTCAGTCTGAGTGTGGAGAGTGCTCTTCCCTCTAGGTGCATTTTGTGAAGAAGGAACTCATTTTAGAAATACATGTTCTGACARATAAAAGTGGTTGGGTTTTTTTTTTTTCCTCCTAATTGCTTGGCTTGCCTTTTGATTGCTAGAGTGTGCAAGTACTGTGCTAAAAGCAAACCCTTGTGTTATATTACAGAGACTACTGTATTTAGATTTACTCAGATCTACACTGTTCTGTACAATTTTTTTTAATTTTGAAAATAAAAACTTTCAGCTTTAGAATATTTTTGCCTCTGAATTGTTACTAAAAACCTGTTAAGAGCTATGTTTATATTTTACCACCTTTCAGATAAACTTATGCTGCAAAGTAAAGGAATCGGTTGTTCCCACTGGGGAAGCAGTGGGTCTTGGACATATTACTGTTCCTGGCCCTGTGTTCCTGAACCAGGCTTGCTCTGATACTCATGCTGCTCTGATATTCATGATTGAATTGTTTGATACCCGGTGACTAACTTTTAAAGGTCAAAATACAGGGTGCTTAGTTCAGGCTAGATACAGGCTCTATGCTGGTGTGCTGTGTGCTTTGCCCTTCTGCTTTTTCTCTACTTTTTTTTTTTTTTTAACTAGATGCCTACATCCTGAGCTGACAAGGATGAGGAGAAAATTTTGGACACAAGCTGAAGTAATGTGGCTGCCGTTTATTTATTTATTTATTATTTTATGAGCAAGCTCTTAAGTAGCCTCTCAGGAGCTCTTTCCTGGAGCAGAGAATCACCTGAGAGGCCTTGATTGCAGGCAGATAGTGAGTGAAGATTGTTTTTGACACTTGTGCTGCTTTTGCATCCTGGGTCTAGATAGGAGCTGTGYGAGACTGTGGTGGAAGGTTGCACAAAGCTTCCTGGGGCCTGKGGTGAAAGGAAGCAGGAAAGAAATGATCCAGCTGAGTGACTGAACTGTCCCAGATACTCTTTACTGGTAAAATCCTTACCTTGTTACTCTCACCTAAAAGCTGTGTTTAGATGTGCCTTTCATYACCCTGCTGGTCATGTGACAATAAAGGCACATTTATGAATCATGTAGGAATTAGCTCATGTTTTTTATGATGATGATTTTGAGGTGTCTCAATACAGCACTTTGCCCAAGCCCCTATCCCACAGCTAGTTTAGTACTGTTGGTATGAACTTGAGAAATGGTTAATGAGCTCATGGTTTATAAGTGCAATGAATGAGCAGCAGTTTAGGAAAGTTGAGAGCAAAAGGTCCTGTCAGCTTTAAAAACCAAAGATACATGGAAATAGAGTATTGCTGTGTAAGGAAGGACAAAAGAATGAAGCTCATGTGAGGTAGAATGATGCTTTATTGAAGAAGGCTGCATGAGTTGACATTCCCTCACTAGGCAGCTTTAGAATGATCTTGTGCATAGGTCTGCTAAAAAAAAAAACAACAAAAAACACCTGGTGTAACAATTTATAATGAATTAAATATATACTATGATGAAATTTAATCATACTGATTAAATTTGCCATAATCTTATTATTAGAAGATTTTCTTAGACTGGTATGTATTAATATATATGCATTTGCTTCTTTCCCATTTGACTTGCTTTTTAATTAAGCCAAACACTGAAGCACTGAAATTTCAAATCTTGGGGAAAAAAAAAATTGTCTTTCTTAACAGTTAAAYTTTCTTCATTATATGTATGTTGAAAAACTAGCATGGTAGTGTTACTTCTCAGCCTGAAGTAGCATACACTAAACATTGCAGAGCAGCACACTTGGCTGCTTGACCAATTTTAGTAGTGCAGGGAACTGCAATGGAGTTTTGTAAAACCCATCTTCCTTCCTAGCCTGATGCTGATGTACCATTATTTTGTTTGCCAGCAGCCTGGAAGTATTTTGAAGAGAAGAGCACRGAGATGGCAACATACCAAAGCATCATCATCATTTGCTTGGATAGGCAAATGAAATGAAAAAGGACAAAATGGTGAAATCTAGTTAAAGAATCGCTTGAAGTGTTCCAGGCTGAGGGAACACAGCTGACTTTGAAACCATCTGTAATACACTCAGCATCTGAAAYGTTTGGCAAGAGAGTCACCCACTGACCTCTGCTGGCATAATCCAGTTTGTTCTCTTACACCTTTTTGTGAGTGCAGCTCTTGCATGGCTAATGGCATGAGCTAGTGGGGAGATGTTGGGAACASTGCCTGCTGTTCTTTCATGTTCTTGGCCTCTAAAGCAACTACAAATGAGTGAAAAGATAAAACTCTCAAATAGAGGCTGGCCACTCTATGGGGTCCTGAACACCAGCACCCAGATAATGCTGGGCTTTGTTGTAGATACATGTGAGTGTGTGGGCTCCAAATGCCAAAGAGCGGGGACAGCACTGCACTTGCATGACTGGGTCTCACTCTTCTACCAAGGAATAAGSCTGGCTCTCCTAAAAGGGTGTCAAAACCCCCACAAACCCTTTGGATCTGGAAAATGGTAGGGGAATTGTATTTTAGAACTCAAAAATATAATGATCAGTGCTAGAGGTAATGAGTCTTGAAAATGAAAGGTGAGAGGGGAACTAGGAATCCTTTAGTGACTGATATTGAATCTGTATGAAAATATGTCTAGAGCATAGAGATACAGTCATATTAAACCAGATCTTGCTGCTGTTTGGTACAGGCTTTCTTCCAGCTAGATTGATCAAGCTCTTGATGCAAGGATGGCAGACAATTTTGTTATGTGAAAAAAACAAACAAACCAGAAGTCATGGTATGGTCAGGATGGGGTAAGAAGGCACTGCATCTGTCTCTGTAGTACTTTAGTGGTTTTTGTACTGATCCCTAGGACTAAAAAAAATCAGTTGAAGTGTAGCTGTGTTGAAACCGACTGATACTGGAGTATGCTACAGGTAAAACTTCTGTCTACTTCAGATATAAAATTTTACTGAAGTTATGGATTTTTGTTTGGGCTCCAGCTAGCTCTGTATCCTTTCCTGTCTCTTAATGCAACTGCAGGCATGAGAATGAAATTATGTGCTAGGTTGTGTCAAGATGTGTAAGTAACAGAAGCCTATGGCAACCATCCTCATTTTCATTTTACCATGCACAATAACAAAGCGACCCTACCAGCACTTCTTTTGGCCTTGTGTTACCTTTT